CCTCCCCCACGCGGGCCTCCCGTGCAGCACTGAGCCCTGATGGCCACTCCCAGTTGGTTCCGCACTGGCCTGGGAGCCTCAAGAGGGCGGGACCCAGATCTGCTGTGACCACCCTGCCCCAGCGCACAGTAGGTGCACAAGGAGGGCCCTGGACAAGCCTGGGCCACCGTGGGCCTGGACACTCTCTGGCAGTCATTTGGCAAAGAGCTCATCCAGCCACTCTAGACCTGTCTTGGGTCCCCGGAGGCGGAGCATTGGCAGTGGGAGGCCTGGCCCTCACCGACGGCTGCCCCAGCCCAGCCTGGTGCCCGCCACAGGCACGAAAGCCCCACTGCCATGGCGCCCGCTCGCTGACGAGAAGGAAGGAAGCAATTAAAACTGAACAACACCAAGCCACCACCAGGCAGCTCTTTCCACAGGAAGGCCGGGCTTTCAGAGCCACTTAGGAGCGGCTCCCTGGCAGGGAGAGCCAGACCCTGGCGGGATGCCACCCAGCCCACAGCATGCGCCCCGCTCACCTGTCCTGCTTGGTGTGGTTGACTATGGACCGGACTTTCAGTTCCCCGTCAATCTTTGGTCTTCCAAATTCCTCCAGTTTCACTTGCTGGGAAGAAGGAGAGGGGCCGTCAGCCGGGGCTGGAACAGGCCCAGTTCTCCTGACCACACGGACAGGGCAGACTGTCGCGCACCGAAGGGAGCTCCCCACAGGCAGCAGAGGCGGGACAAAGGGAAACAGCCCCCATGGCTCCCAGCTGGTGCTCAGAATGGACGAGGGAGGGTGCAGAAAACTGGAAAGGGACGGGGCCTGGCAGCTTCTGTCCTTTCCCTGGCCAGCCTCGCCAAGGGGCTCCCTTCAGCTCTGGGGACAAAGGGCGATTGACGGCGCCAGTTCTGTTCACAGGCCGCCACTGTGTGGAGCCCCAGGCGGGACCCGGTCGGCAAAGCCAGACGCCCAAGCCCGAGAACCCATGTTCGGGACAAAACAAACAGCGCCTATCTACTGCAGGGCGGGTGGAGCCGGGGTCCTGCTGAGGGCGAGGCTTTGACTCAGACCCCTGTGTGGGTCGCTGAGGTTTCATTTTCGTTGTCTGTCTGGTTTTGTCTCTGACTCTTCTGGTTCAGAGAGAGTTTCTCTTGACATGTTCCCTGCGTGGCTTTCAAAGTGTCCATGCAGACAGGAAAAGGTGGAGGAAAATGCTTTGAGACGTGAACAGGGCCCTGCCTGGGAGGTGCTCGAGGCACGGGCTCAGCGTTTCCTTCCAAGGTCTCAGCCCCAGAGGCTGCAAGGACAGCTTTGGTGCCACGTAGCCTCAGTCAACTTACTCCAGGCCTCCGATCTCAGCTCTCGCCACCTTCCCTGTGGTGATGGGATTCGAAGCCAGGACCGGGTACAGGGACTGGCTCATGGGGACGCTCGGCGCCTGCTGGCCATAGCGCCTGCTGGCCATGCTGTTTGATTCTTGTTGTTGTCGACGTTTTTGAGACAGTCTCACTCGGTCACTCAGACTGGAGTGCAGTGGCGCAATCATGGCTCACTGCAACCTCTGCCTCCCGGGGTTCCAGAGATTCTCCTGCCTCAGCCTCCCGAGTAGCTGGGATTACAGGCATCCGCCACCACGCCTGGCTAATTTTTGTACTTTTAGTAGAGACAGGGTTTTACCACGTTGGCTAGGCTGGTCTCAAACTCCTGACCTCAAGTGATGCACCCACCTCAGCCTCCCAGAGTGCTGGGATTACAGGCATGAGCCACCGTGCCCGGCTTGTTCTTGTTGTTTAATGAACAAGTATTGCTCCTATGTAAAAACTTAAAAAACAAAACAAAATGAACTTTTCTCCTCACGTCCTGCTCACTGTACGCATTTGCAAACGCCTCGCGCAGGAGGTCATGGCAGCATGGACCCACCAGGTGCTGATGGCATGGGGTGTGGCCGTCCTCGGCCTCCTCTGCACCCACACACTTTAATTAATTTATTTTTTCTTTATTTTTTTTCTCTTTTTTGAGACGGAGTCTCACTCTGTCTCCCAGGCTGTAGTGCAGTGGCCGGATCTCGGCTCACTGCAAGCTCTGCCTCCCAGGTTCAGGCCATTCTCCTGCCTCAGCCTCCCGAGTAGCTGGGACTATAGGCGCCCACCACCTCTCCCGGCTAGTTTTTTTTTGTAACTTTAATTTATTTCTAAAATGAAAGATGAAGGGGGCAGTATCATAATGCCCTTCAGAAGCTTCTTTTTTTCTCTTTCATTGCCAATGTATCGCAGGTGCTTTTTTGTGCCCCGTGTTTGCCGAGGGCATTCTCTTCATGCTGCTGGCACCGGGTGGGTGTGGCCTGGGCATCAGGGACCTTCCCCTGCCGGCTTCATGTGAGTGAAATCACCAGGGTGAAATGCTTGTGATTCACAACCAGGGGGTAATACTGCCACCCAAAGGACCTTCTGGCAATGTCCAGAGGCATATTTGGTTGGCATCAGTTGAGGGGGTGGGGGTGCTACTGGCATCTGGTGGGTGGCAGCCAGGGACACGACTCCACATCCTGTAATGCACGGGGCAGCTCCCACAACCAAGAATGATCCGGCCCCAAACGCCAGCAATGCTGAGGCAGAGAATCCCGGGTTAGAACCGGCAGATCCTCAGGAAGTCCGCTCCAGTCAGCACAGACCAGGGAATGTGCTTCCCAGGGTGGTGCATCCCCTCTCCCCAGGCAGGACGAGGTGACTGACTCAGCAGCCCAAGCCTGGTCTCTGCAGGGCCAGGTTCTGGGGAGAGTCCCGGGAGGTGGTACCCCTGCCTGATGGAGTCCGAGGAGCAGAGGCGACTGCCGGCCCCACCAAGCCTGGGCCCAAACCCTGTCCATTGCCCCTGGAGGGGAGGGTCAAGGTGAGGGTGGGCCAGGGGTCCAGGGACCAGGGGTCGTCTCCTGCCCCTGGGAGCCACAGTTCTCCTCTTGGACTTGAAGGGATCTTCTGTCTAGGCTGCGGGGGAGAAAGGGGGCTGGGCAATGAATACAGTCCCTCCCCCACCCCCTCCCCATCCCCTCCCCTGCCCCCTAAGCACAGGCCGTCTTCAGTGCACAGGGCACTTGGGTTGGCTGTGGTGGGCAAGGGAGCGTGGATGCTGGGGGGTGATCTGAGATCAAACTCAGAAGCTGCCGGACACCACCCTCTCAACAGGCAGCCGTGGTGTGGCTGCCCGTGGAGCTCACTCAATACTGCAGCTGTGAACGTGACTTTATAGGCACCGTCCTCATCAACCTTCCCTAGCCTGAAGAGTCAGACCCACTCACCAAGTTTTCTATAGAACTCTGAAATTCGCTGATTTTCCTCAAGGTCTCCTTGTCCCGTTTAACTTCATTGATATACATCGCTAAGTCCTTGAAAACAAGAGGCAGAGGGTGAGCGGGCTGTGCTGGTTGGGGGGTGTGTGTGTGAGAGTAGTGTGTGTGTGTGTGACTATGTGTGAGAGCAAGCTGTACTGGGTGGGGTGTGTGTGTGTGATTGTGTGAGTGACCTGTGCTGGGTGGGGGGTGTGTGTGACTGTGTGTAAGGGTGTATATGTGTGAGCAAGCTGTGATGGAGGGGTGTGTATGTGTGAGTGTGAGTGGGCTGTGCTGTGGTGTGTATGTGAGTGATTGTGTGAGAGCATGTGTGTGTGAGTGGATTGCACTGGGTGGGGTGTGTGTGTGTGAGTGGGTTGTGCTGCGTGGGGTGTGTGTGATTGTGTGTGTGTGAGCTGTGCTGGGTGGGGTGTGTGTGTGTGAGCATGTGTGAGTTTGTGTGTGTGGGCTGTGCTGTGGTATGTGTGTGAGTGATTGTGTGAGAGCATGTCTGTGTGAGCGGACTGTACTGGGTGGGGTGTGTGTGAGCAGGTTGTGCTGGGTGGTGTGTGACTGTGTGTGTGTGTATGTGAACAGGTTGTGCTGGGTGGGGTGTGTCTGATTGTGTGTGTGAGCAAGCAGTGCTGTGCAGGGTGTGTGTGAGCGTGAGTGTGCACACATGCACACACATGCAGGAGCTCAACCCCTAAGGACCTCCCCCCACCCAGCATCCAGGCGCTGGGCGTTTCTGGACCTCCTTCCTCCATCCTGCCGGGGAGGCTGCCCTCGAGACAGGACGGCTGAAAAGCATCACCTCCACATGACAGATGAGGAAACTGAGGCAGGGAAGGGAACACACTGACCGAGAGCCACACCTCGTCAGTGACAATGCCAAGAGCCCCAAACTCCTGGCTGGTGCTGCTTCTTTCTACCCCATCATGTGGCCCCTCTTAAACATTCTAACAGAGGGAAGCAGCCCTGTGTGTCGGAGCCACATCAGACCACAGAAGAGCCACCTAGGCTTGGGCTGACCTAGGTCCCCGTTCTTGGGAAGCTTCCCCCTCCCCAGCCTCTCCAAGCCACGGCCTCCCCTTGGAGCCTGGACAGAATGAGGGGTCAGGAAGTCCCTCTCTCCTTGGGTCTGGCCATCCCCAAACCAGCGTCCGTCTGCCGTGCTGCAATCCCCGTGTTGGCCACCAGGGAGCAGTGCCCACTTTAGTCCAGACACAAAACGCAGTATCTGGACCTGGCCCGCTTGGGAACCCAAGGGAGCCGGCCACGTGGGCGGTCCTGGCCCTGCCCACCCAGAGCAGCGGGTGGAATTCCCCAAAATGCAAGTGACCAGCCAGAGCCAGAGCCAGAGCCAGAGCCAGGTCATCAGCAGGTTCCCATCCCTTCCGCCCTTCCTCGTTCCTAGAAGACTTCACAGTCAGCTCCCCACCCACCCCACAGCGAGGAGCTTCCTGGGGAGGTTGCAGCACGTTGTCTGAAAGGGGTGTTTTGTTTTCTTGTCCACTTGCCTTTAAAATGAGGAATAAATTCCCAGAGACAAGGACCCCAGTGGCGAGTCTAGAGCTCAGAACCCCCGCCCCGCCACCGCCAACCCCAACAGCAGAAACATTATAACTCTGACTACCGTGGCCCCTGCGTGCACCTGGCCCAATGCCTGGCACGAAATAGGAACAGATGGAAGTTGCCCGAATGAATGAGCAGGTGAGGGAAATGTCTGTACTTTGATACAGAGGCAGGATTGCAGTCAGCTCATGGAGCTCAGACCTAAAACCGCAATTCCCCTGGAGACAAACCTCAGGGCCACAGAGGCACGGCGGCCGACTCTCAAAGACACTGCCTTACAAGGAGTGAGCTCTCAGTCCCGAGGGGAAATCAAGCCCAGGTACGATGACGACTCCCAGAGTGGCTGCATGAATGACTTCCTATATAAACTGGAAATCGATCCAAAGACTTCTAAAATCCCCCTCAGCCCTGAAGTCTCATGATGAGGTGCGGTGGCTCTCAGAAAGGCAGATGCACACCTGCAAGTCACAGAGTACTTTGTGCAGCACCGTGAGCTACACTCCTGGGAAACTGTCCCGTCGAGGGGCTCAGAGCCACCCGCCAGCCAGACACCGAGTGCTGAGAGTATGAAATGCAAGACCACACTCAGGGCCCGGGTGCACGGCCCACTGCACCTGCTGCCACTGTCTCAGAGCCCCCGAGGACACATCCGCGCTGGCTCACACACCGTGGCTCACAGCAGACAGGCCAGAGCAGCTGTTGGAGAGGGGGCGGCTTGCGGGCAGCAGAGCTGACACCAAGAAAGTTTTGTCAGCCCGTCACGGCAGGAAGCTTTCCTGGAGCACTCCTCAGGGTGCTCGCTGCCCAGTGGAGCCGAGCGCCACAGGAGCTGAAGGTCTCTGGGACCACCTCCCGTGCCCACACATGAGTGCCCACAGGATTGGGAATCAATTTCTCCCAGAGCACAAGCCCTGCTCAGAGAACCTCCTAGCACCGGCGGCCAAGCACTGGTCTCCACTCCCATCCTGGCCCAATAGCAGCTATAAATGGAGACAGATTACAGACCCGCCCCCGCCCAGGGGGAGCTCCTTAAATAAGGTACCTTGGAAAGGAAACGGGGCCCACAGCCCCAGGGGCTGCCCAGAGGGCAGGCGCCAGGTATCAGAGGGCAGGACTGCAGCCCTGAGGGGGGTTGGCAGAGGTGTCCCGTGCTCCCCACAAGGGAGGTGCTGGGGGAGCCATCATCCCTCCATCCAGATCCGGCTGGAGGGGACCTACCCCATGCCGGGTGCCATGCCTGGCCTGGGGACACAGGTGACCGTGGCTGACACAGGCCTGGCTGGGAAGGGGCTGGCATGAACTGTGTCCAGGAGTAAGAGTGCCACCCACGGGGAAGCCAGTTCCCTGAGGATGGAACCCAGTCAGGGGCGATCCTCCCTGGAAAACGTCCTGTCCATGGCGAAGGCAGGATGAGCAGGACGCAGCCAGGTGACGACGAGGAGGGTGCACCTGAGACAACATGTGGACCCGGGGAAATGCAGGGCACGTGCAGGAGCCTGGGAGGGATCAAATCTGCCTGGAACTGTGGTAAACACAGCTGCAACACTGGGGGCAAGTATCCTGCAGGCCTGGAGTGCCAGAGTGAGGAGCCTATGCCTGCTTCATGGGCAGAGGGAGCCATGGAAGGTTTCGGAGCAAGGGAGTGACATGAGCTAAGCTCACTCGGACAAGGGGAGAGAGGGAGGCATGGCTGGCTTGGTGGGGGGTAGGGGGGTCCTTGAAACAGCCAGGAGTGAAGGAGCTCCCCAGGCAGGTAGCAGAGAGATGGCCCTGGGGTAGCATTTTAGAAGCAGAAGGCTCAGAGCTGGGAGTGAGAAGCACTGGGCCAGAAAGCCCAGAACGGAGGCGAGTGCCTGGGGGGAAAGCAGGGGGAGGGGAGGTTCAAGGGAGGTCTTGTTGGACACGTGAGGTTAGGACCCGGGACACCTGAGGGGGCACCTGATCTGCAGCGCCCTCCACCCGTCACCTCCACCTCCTGTGGGTCTCACCCCCTGCCCTGCCCCGCCCCAACTCCTGCTGTCCCAGGAAAATGTCTATAGTCACAATCGCGGCTTGTTAATGAGCCCAGATCCAGTCCAAGACCACGCGGGCACGGTGTGCTAAGCCACGCGATGGCTTCTCCCCTGCCTCAGTTTACCCACTCACCTGCATAGCTTCCAGTGCTTCTTTGAGCTGCTGCCTCTCAGGCCGTTCCGCAGAATGGCTCAGAAGCTCCTGGAGGGGGGAGAAGAGCGTCATGTGTTACCACTCGGGGGTCCTGGCCTCTGCCCTGACCCCTACCCAGTGCAGGGAGTGAGCGCAGAACGACGTCCTCAGAGGAAATCCATCCCCACCTGCCAGCCCAGGCTGGGTTTGGCTGCCCACCACCAAAGGACAGACAGTGACCCCTCCACAGGGGGACACCCCACTTCTTGGCAGGGCACTCCCAGATCTTGTGGATAAAGGAAGGGAGTGACCGTGAGAAGGGACATGAAGGCAGCAAAAAGCAAGGCACTGAGGCAGCAGTTCACGGGAAAAGGCCTCACAAGGTGGCTGGCAGGAACCACCGCCTTCCCTCCCAGGTCCTTCTTTCCTGAAGCCCTTCCATTTCCATTTCTGCTGTGGCCACCAGGAAGCTCAGAGATCAACCACAGTAGCATTCTCTCTTTTTTTTTTTTTTTGAGATGGAGTCTCACTCTGTCCCCCAGGCTGGAGTGCAGTGGCCGGATCTCAGCTCACTGTAAGCTCGGCCTCCCGGGTTTACGCCATTCTCCTGCCTCAGCCTCCTGGGTAGCTGGGACTACAGGGGCCCGCCACCACGCCCGGCTAGTTTTTTGTTTTTTTTTTAGTAGAGACGGGGTTTCACCGTGTCAGCCAGGATGGTCTCGATCTCCTGACCTCGTGATCCGCCCGCCTCCGCCTCCCAAAGTGCTGGGATTACAGGCTTGAGCCACCGCACCCAGCCCACAGTAGCTTTCTTATTCCTGGTGTGAGGACACATTTCTGTCTCCTTCAGTTTTCTGACCTCAATAGTGACTTGAATCGTCTTCCCATGTATATTTACTGTGATAATCGTTCATCACACGCATTGAACAGTGAGAATGAGCTAAGCACGAACTGATTTGTTTATATTCAACTTAATCTGTCTGTGGGCTGCATCCCACACCCCCTGGAAGCTGCCGGCCCTCATCTGACTCCGGCAGTGATGACCCCACAGGCACCCGGGGCCCAGAGCCTCACCTTCAAGAGCAGGTGGTATTTGAGCACCCTCTGCATGGGGACCACCAGCAGGTCTTGTAGTTTAAATTTTCCATCCTGGACCTTCAGCGTGCACTCCTGGGAGGGTGACGGGGTGATGGGAGAGCCCTCCCTGAGGAAAGCCTGAATCCACCCATCTGAACCCCCGCCCACAGAAAGGGGAGACCTAAGCCCAGAACTCGGGCCCAGACGTTTGGTTCTTCTCTAGCCAGGCTCCCAGAACCAGTCCATGCACCCGGTGTGTGTAGACGGATGGGCTTCACAACACGTGGGTAGGGGCGCGCCACCTCTCCCACCCTGCCGTGTCTGCACTGGCCAGGCCGGGACGCAGTGAGACATGTGCGATGCTACAGGAACCCTCCCGGGCGCCTGCTGGGCCTGCCTAGATGTGGCTTTGACTCTTCCGCCAGGCCAGGTCCTTTGGAGAAGGGCAGCAGGGGCATCCCCCGTTGACCAGCCCCTCTCTGGTCTGGCCTCTGGGAGATGCAAGGTGGAGCGCCAGCTTGCACTGAGCTGTGGGGGCCACTCCCAGGAACCAGGGCGTTCCCCCATTCATTGTCTGGACTTGGGGGGCATCGGGCATCTCCACTGGGGGGCCACGCTGCCTCCACCACTGCTACAGCCAGAGGACTCTACACCAGGCTCCACGCAGAAAACAGGGTGTACTGACCAGATGGAGCCTGGAAACTCCAGCTGGGAACAGGAGGGACTGGGAGGGGCTCACGTGAGAAACTAGATGTTGATAGAGACTCGCCCTGGGCCTGGGGTGAGGATGCATGAGGGGTGGGTGGCCCCACGGTTCCCAGCAAATGTTACCGGGAATTCCTGGGGTCAGCGGAGGCCAGGGTCAGGGGTCAGTCAGAGCCCCCAGTTGATAGAGACTCGCCCTGGGCCTGGGGTAAGGATGGATGAAGGGTGGGTGGTCCTACAGTTCCCAGCAAATGTTACCCCAGGTTCCCTGGGGTCAGCAGAGGCCAGGGTTGGGGTCAGCCAGAGCCCCCAGCTGAGTTAGATTCAGTCCCAAGGCCCTTTCTCCATGGGGAGTCTTGCTGTGTCCTGGCCTGGGATGGTGACCTCCACCCGACCCAATCCCCAACCCAACACAATGCAAAAAAGAAAAATCTACAAAAAACCATTACATCACCATCCCCGTCACCACCTTCCCAACAAACAGGCAAGAGAGAGGCTGGTACCTAATGAGCTCCGGCCTGCAAGCTGCAACCTCAGAGCCAGGGCCAGGGCCAACGCCTGGCAGGACTTACCTCGACTTTCTGCCTGAAGTCCTCCCGGCTGGCCAGGAGCTGGTTCAGAGTGTTCTGGGCGTGCTCCATGTGGCTGCAGTACTCCCCGTAGATCAGGAGCCTGGGCAGTGCACACACACGCACACACACACAGGTTTAATGAGCGGCTCGGGGCTGCAGTGAGCCCGTCCATTTTTCCCAGCAGGCTGTAGGTGCGCAACCAACAGTCCCCTCCGCTGACAGCTCCCTGCGCGTGGACATATTCGACGGCCAGGAGGCTGCTTTACCCTCCCTGAAATGCTACCGGGCCGCAGGACGGCTGCCAGCGTGCTGGGAGAGCGGGTGCCCCGCTCTTCCTGAGTCCCAGGTGGTTCTAGGTCAGGTCCCGGCTGGGGATGCAGGGTGGAGCTCTCAACCTCCCATCCCACCCCCGAAAAGGGCCAACACTGGAGGAAAGAGAAGCCCCTGGCATCCCCCCGGGAAGGAAGACCCCAGGAGGGCTCAGACTCTTGCCCCTAGGCCCTGACCACTGAGGCCTGTGCTGGCTCAGGGCTCACCCTGGTGCTGTGCCAGGTGGGGAACCCCTAAGTGTCACCCTTGGTGCTTCTACATGGTCCCTGAATTCCACAAGCAGGGGACAACAGCCGTCAGTGACAGCCCCCTCCTCACCAGGGATGCAGGCAGTCATGTGGCCCCCGGACCTGGGAGGACCAGCAAAGTCCCAGGAGGATGCTCAGGAGGCCGGCCCTCGTGTCCTGCCCACTGCCTCCTCCTGGCTGCGGCATCGCTCTCTCCCGGCCACTCTGATTCCCACTTCAGTGCCTTGTGCTGGTCTCTTCAGCCACAGTACCTCCTCCCTTGCCCTGCACCGGGCCCGTTATCTCTACAAACTGGAACCCAGGGTTCCCGGCCTCTGGAGCCTCAGGGTCTCAGGTTACCAGCCTGAAATTTCATCTTGAAAACCCTGTCACCCCACCGACAGGGCAGTCCCGAAGAAGAAGAACCACGCCAGGTGACCATGTTGGTGACAACAAGGATGACAAGAGCCACCACTTGCCGAGGCAGCTGCTGCCAGGTGCTTTGCCGACAAGCCTGACGACCTTTTCTGCCCATTTGTAAGGATGGGTGTGATCAGCTCCATCCTTCAGGCAGGGCGACTGAGGCCTCCGTGAACTTGCTAGGAGCTCACAGTCTGGCCTGCAAAGCTAGGCCGGACCCAGCGTCCTGGTGATGTGCTCTCTGGCAGGGCTGCGTCTTAGTGTCTGGAGGCTTCCCTGGCTCGGGAAGCCCAGTGCAGGCTCTCGGGACCAGGTCACCACGGCCTCTGGGCCATTTCTCTTTCCATCATGAGAGCTGCTTTGCTGTAGGGCACCCGGCCTGGGGCTCGGGGCAGGCAGCGGGGCCTGTAGCTTGGCTTTTGTGGAGGGCGGCCCTCGGGAAGAAGCGTCCTGATCGTGGCGTCTTGATGCAGGGACAGGTTTCCATCCATGGGGCTCTGCCACGTGGGCCCTAGACAGGCCCCACTCCCCACACCTCTGGGGTTTTGGACCACGCAATGCTCACTTTCTTTCCAACTCTGGCGTTCTGGGCTCGTACGAACACAACAGTGGCTGGGAACACACTTTCTGCCCAGGGAGCACATCCCGTTGCTGCTGGCTCAGGCACACGGACAGGCATCTTGACACACTTCCCACTCCCAACAAATGCTCAAGAGGCTGTCCTCACCGCGGCCAGGGGCGACAGAGGCCCTGACACCCTCCGAGCGCTGCACGTGGGGCCCAGTGGCTGGTACCTCCTCAGGCCGCCCGAGAATCCTCCCTCACAAGCCTGCAGGGACACTTCTGGTATGCGAGGCTGACGGTCCACCACTCTGATAAAGGACCTGAATCTGCTCGAAGCTCACCTGGCCCAGCCACAGTCAAGCAAAGCACCCGTGGCCGGTCCCACAGGGCCCACATGTGGGGTCTGTACGGGTGTGTCCCGTGTCCACAGATCTGGGAGGTCTGCACGGAAGCATCACCATCATTGCAAAGGGCCTGCCTCCTGACTGGTGCCGGGGCCGTGTGTTGACCGGGAACCACTTTAAATGGGAACCTGCTCCCTGGTTTCCACCTAAATGAGTCTGTTATTACACTGATGATCATTTTCATATAAAAGTTGGTGAAAACCTATCATCTCCGGAAGCAATCAAGAAAAAGGTTTTTCCCCTTTTAAAAAAAATGAACAAAAGCTTCAGAAGCCCCCGGTAGAGTGGGAGAAGGGAGAAGGAACAGAGGGACATTTAAGAGACCACCAGGCAGCCTGAAAAGTGAGCGGACAAGACACTGAGCCCTAGCGGCTGCCTGCACCTGCCCCGCTCCAGATTGGTGTTTTCTCCACTCTAAGAGAATGATCAGAACCAGGTGCAGAAGACACACCACACACACTGGGCATCACTTGGTGCCAGGACCTGGGCTGGAAGCTCTGGAACTGTGACTGTCACCGTTCTACTCATGGGGACACTGAGGCTCAGAGAGGCTGCACTCCTGCCTCCTGGCTGTGCCTCCCATCTGATGATGACACCAGCCCACAAGCACGGCAGGAGGTCCAGGGAGACCCGGAACCCTAAGGCCCCCCAGCCCACCCCTGTGGCCCCTTTGAAAAGTGCCCCTGACCTGGCCTAAGGACTCCAGGTGGGGAAACCAGGGCAGGTGATGAACCTTGAGGCTTTCAGAGCTTCCCAAGATCACCTAGAGGTGGAAGGGGAGTCTGGGCTGGGGAGGCGGAAAGCCAGAGCCCCCAGTGAGGGGTCCTCCCCACATGGAGCCGTGTCTGCTGCTGGGGCTGGGGCCACGCTCGGGCAGGAGGGATCACGTGACACCATACTGCCTGACTTTCCACCAGGCATGGGCTCAGCTGGAAGCTCTGGGACTCTGACTGTTGCCATTCTACCCATGGGGACATTGAGGCTCAGAGAGGCCTGTGCTGAGAAGGAAATCACACCAGCAGTCACCAACCCCAAAGCCCAGGTGCTTGGGCTGCAGTGCCCTGCCTGCTGGCTGTGCACCACCGCAGACTCGGCTTCAAGCATTTCAGGTGAGCTGGGCGCAGTGACAGCCCCAGCCCCTCTCCATCGAGGGAAGTCTTCATGTGGGTGGAAAAAGCACCCAACTGAAGCCCAGTGGATAACATGCGTGGTACCAGCAGCTCTAGCGTGGCCGTACCAGCCTTGTGAGCTCCCCGTTTCAATTTCACACCAGGTCACCTGGGCCCGAGGTTTAGGCGGATGAGGGGCCGGGGTGCGGATCCCAGCCTTACTCTCCTTACACCATGCCCCACTGGGAACGCCCCCACCAGCCACAGCACCGCTGAGCCGGCAGCCTTCTCCATCTGGCAAACTTCTACTCATCCGTCAAAACCCTCCCTATCATTGCCCCTTCTGTGCCACCGTCTTCACCTTAACCCCTGCCCCAGCAGGGCCAGAGGGAAAAGCAAAGAGATAGGTCAAAGGGCAGCAGGGAGAGGGCTGTCCAAAGTCAGTGGGAGCTCAAAGAGGAGGCTTCCCCGGGTGATCCCCGCCCCCCAGCTCTGAGCTCCTGCAGTGGGTCTCACTCCTCCCCATGTCCCAGCACCCAGCCCGGAGCCTGCCTGCACCAGGCACTCACACATGGCTGTGAGCGGCCACAGCCACAAGCCTGGATACAGGTCCTTCTATCTATTTGATAAAAGGATGCAGGGGGTGGGGGTGGGGGGAACGGCAGACCCTTGCAGCAAACAGGAGAAGGAGAACTACTCCTGGGGAAAGACACACAGACCTCCATGAAGAACCCGAAAGGGCCCTGGCCGTGGGAGGTGCTTCACACCTGGGCTCACTGCATCCTCACAGAACCACTTTCAGGACAGGGGCCCTGAGGCTCAGAGAGGTGACATGACTTCTGAGGTCGTCCAGCAAGGAGGAACAGATTCCAAAGCGAATGCACGTGGCTCCCAACCCTGGCCCTTAGGGCCCCAGGGTGAGGCCTCTGCAGAGAGACACTCTCTCTCCGTTGAATCCAGAAGGACACTCAAGGGGCCCGTGCCCTCTCTCACCTGACCCAGGTGCACAGCAGATGCCAGCACCTGCACACCCCCAGCTCCACTGACCACGGGCAGCTGGCAATGGAGAGGGCCTCGGACCAGAACTCGGCTGCAGTGGGTCCACCAGAGCCTCACACTGTGACCTTATTTGGTCACGATACAGATGCAATCAAAGTAAGGACGGATGAGGCCATGCTGAAGGAAGGTGGCCCTAAATCCAACGACAGTGGCCTCAGAAAACAACACAGAGACGTGGGGAGGCCATGTGGAGACGGGGACAGAGAACGAAGCAGCCACAGCCAGGAACGCCCGGGCCCCCAGCAGCTGCAGGACATAGGAAGGAGCCCCCTGGAGCCTCTGCGGGAAGTACGACCCGGGCATATCTGGACTTTGGCTCAGTGAGACTAATTTAGGATTCTGGCCTCCAGAATGGAGTCCTCTCTGTTGTTTCAAGCCTCCATATTTGCGGTCATTGTTACAGCCAAACCAGGTCACTCATATAGATGCCTTCATTCTCCGTCCACACCACCAGGTCACTCACAAGGACGCCTTCACCCTCCGTCCACACCACCAGGTCACTCACATGGATGCCTTCACCCTCCGTCCACACCACCAGGTCACTCACAAGGACGCCTTCACCCTCCGTCCACACCACAGGATTCCGAACACCTGCCACATGCCAGGCAGCATGGGCCACAGAGTCCCCAGGGGGCACAGTTTGACTTCTCCCCGAAAAATGGAGAGAAAATGACGGTGACTCCAAGCCTCTTGAAGGAAGTCAGCTAAGCAGGCAAAAGTTTACAGGCCTTAATTCTAACCACTTTTACTACTATTAAGAAAAAGGAGCCAAAACTTGGAAATAAGGCAGCACACAGGGGCACACATGCACGCACACACACACACACGTGTACACGTACACACACACAAGCACACACACGCACACACAGGATTTCATGCATTCCTGGTCTGGCTGGAGCACCTCTCGGGGGCAGCCTCCTCTGGCTCCGGCTGACTCCTCCCCTGGAGAAAGTTGTTCAGGCACAGATGATTTCTGTCCTGCCAGAGGACATGGCCCCAAAGGTCCCAGTGTGGTCACCTTGCAAGGCACAGCCCACTGTGTCCAGGGTCTTGCCCTACCTCCCCTCTCTGCTGGCAAGCTGTGTGAGTTGACAGACGCGTGGCCTCGTTCATGAGTTGACAGACCCGTGGCCACAGCTCCGTGGGTATTTGTGTGAGGATTATGGTTTTTACCTTTCTGAGTACGTTAAGCTCTGACCCCACTACACAGCGCACAAATGCCTCCTCCAGAGACCCCTGTCCTCTGCCCATTTTCCTCACGGTGTCACCTCTGCCTCCAGTCCACAAAGCTCCAACCTCTCAAGATGCCCAGGGACAGGCCAGCGCGGGTTGAGGGCCACAGGCCATGGGCTCAGGCACGGACCAAGGATGCAGGAACAAGCGGGTCCACGGCTGAGCTGCCAGCTCTGGCCTCCGTTTCCCCATCTGGGAAGTGGGGGTTAGACAGAGCGGCAGCTAAGGCTTCTTGACTTCAGAGGTTCCCAAAGGCAGCCCTGCCAGAGGAGGTGGCCAAGCCAACCCCTACCGGGGGTTTTGAGGTGGACCGCGGCCAGGGACTCTCCCTGCAGGCAGTACCCCGGAACCACCCAGCCTTGGACTTCGGGTAGGAACCATCCACAGGGCAGCCTCACTCGTTCCAGGATTCTGAGCGAAGTCTCAGTGCACCAAAGCGCTCGCCTGTCTTGGATCCTTCATCTCCAAACACACAGGGAAATCCCACGCCGCCCCAGGGGAGGAGGGCATGGCCTTCATCTTGTTCTGTTCTGCGTTCCTCCCAAAAGTGCTTGTGCAAAGCTCCACAGAGAGCGCCTCTTGAAAGCCAGTCCGTGGCCTTCCTGCGGGGCTGCCAGCTCCCTGAGGCCGTTCCCTTTGTAGCTCTCCTGCCTCCACGTCCCCGTATGCCCCCACTCCCCCAGCATGACTCACTGCCTCACTCAAAGAAGCCACCAGGGGCTGGACTCCAGGCCCAGCCTGGCCAGCCCCAGCCACAGAGAAAAAACCACATAGCTCTGTCTTACATCCAGAGCTGCAGAATGCAAGCTCCTTCCCAAGGCCCAGTGTCCCTCTGGGTGGGCGATGCCCCTTTTTAGGCCTACAGGGAAAGGCTAAGAGGAGCTCCTGCCTTGTCTGAGGACCACAGCTACATTCATAAAGGTATAACGTCAAAAAGAGGGAGGTGACTGTCCCCTGCCACTCAGTGCTGGTCATGTCACACCGGGACGCTACTCCACCCTTCACCCCTGCCAGACCCTGCCAGACCCTGTCACAAAGCCCCTCAGCAGCTTCCTCATGCCCTCACTTTAAAAAAGAAACATTCTAAATCCTTCCTTTGGCCTGAAACCCCCTGCAGGACCCTCCAGTCCTTCCTTGGAGAGCTGCCCCTTTCCTACTGGGCTCCTGCCTCTCACCTTCCCCCAAGCTTCTGCTCCCCCACCCGCCTCGCCCCATCCCTGCAGGACTGCGCAGCCCTCACGGGTCTCCTGGGTTCTCCAGCAACATCACAGCGCCCCCGAGCTCCTCTGTCTTGTCTTGGTTCTCATCCCTCCCAGCCAGTGAGAGGCCAGTAGCTCTGTTCACTGCGTATCCTCGGTCCAGAGCTCAGTAGCCGTACACAGCAGGCACCCTATAAAAGCTTCAGGACTCATCCAGCCAGCGAGAACCAGGACCTTGGGGCCGACTCCACAATGAGAGGAACGGGGGCAGAAAAGCTGGATGCTGGGATGGAACCACGATGACTTGGTGATGAGCTTTGATGAAACGCTGCCAGCCCCTTCCCCAAACAGACCCTGACTGACGGGTCCGGCCATGAGCCTCGCTCCCAGGGACGAAGCCGCCTGTCCGCAGAGCTCTCGGGCCGGGCCTGTGACTGGATGCGCTGCCCACACTGCAGTGGCACTCCAAGGCAGAGATGCCCGCTGTTCCTGGGCGAGAACCACGCGTGCAAGGTCCTGCTGGTGGGACGGGGCCAGGGGTGTCACAGGGCAGCCTGACTGCGAAGGGAGGCTCCTGGGAGAGGGCAGGTTATCCACCCCTGTCACTCCACCTCACAGCCAGCCATTCCTGCTCCGGCGCTTCAGCCTTGAATGGGCCTCGAAGTAAACCCCGCTTCACCCGTGGCTCCCTCCCTTCCTGGCCGAGGGACAGCACGAACAAGGCACTGAGAAGGTCCGCTGTACCCCACACCTGGGACACTGGGCCGACAGCCAGTGCGACCCGCCAGCCGGGCTCTATCGGCTCACCGGCAGATGAAGGGAACACCTTGCTGGGGCAGGTGAGGGAGCTGTCCTCCCCCGACCCCTGCCCACTCTTACCCCTCCGGGGCTGGCCAGTGTGCTCACACCTGCTGGGCCTCGTCAGCTCTCCTGGTCACCTCTGCCACCTGACCACAAGCACTGCCTGCTCCCTCGCGTCTCCGGGAAGCCCCGAAGCCATGGCCCCTGGAGAGCAGGCTCTGGGACCCTCCTCACTGGGGAGGGGGGAGCGCCTTTCCTGGAGCTACGGAGCACACGGGGAAGCACCTGCAGGGTTTCCCAGGCAACGCGCCTGAGAATGCAGCCCTGGGCCTGTCCCCGGCTGCCTGGACAGGGAGGGGTGCGAGCTGTGCTGACGGTCACCTGGCGGACGACGCAGGGGACCCTCCTAGAGATGAGGGAGAGATGGACCTGGGCACCCAATGCCTGGCCCAGGGCCGTGTAGTCAGATGCAACTGTGGGGTCTTCTACAACTCCCCAGGCCCCACAGCAGACCCTTCCAAGAGTGGACCCCAGACATGGTATTTGTAACAACCTCCCCAGAGGCTCCAGTGAGCGGCCAAGTTCAGGAAGCATTAGCATAGACCCCTTCGGGCACCTCCAAAGGATCTCCAAGGCACAGAGAACTTGGCACC